GAGGGGAAGATGAGGCAGTGAGGGGCAGGATGGCTGCCATGCTGGGGCAGGCCCAGCACCAGTCACAGGGCCCCCAGGTTGACAGGAAGGATAATCAGAAGAGCTGCAGCAGCTTTCCCCTCTCTCTCTTTCTGCCTTTTTCCCCCCCTTTCTTTCAGTTTTTGGTAGTGTTCATATCACAGGCCCTCGAGGTGAGGCTGGCCCAGCCTGCAGCCCTGATCATCCCACATCACCCAGTGCTGAGGCACTGAGCTGCACACACCATCCACTTTAAATATCTGTGTCTGCATGGGAAGAGTTTGTACATGTTGAAATGTCTTCAAGATGACAGCGTGAAGGAAAGATGGAATTGAGCCTGGCTTTGAAACCTGGCAGAGCAGGAAGCAGTGATGTGAGGCTGCACCAGGCCTGTGCCGGGCATGGAGCCTGTGTGGGAAGTGCTGCTTCTCCTTGCTTGGTTAGGTCATGCTGGACAAAACTGCCCGTGCCCAGCCACGTCCAGATGCAGTTCCAGCATATACACATTAGATGCTGTTTCTTGGACATGCCTTTTCGTTTACAAGGCGAGAGAATAATAATGCTCCAGTGATTACAATGTCGGCAAGAGAGTTACCACAGCCATGACAGCCTCTTACAGTGACTCTGCCCTGGGAGCTTTGGGGCTTCATTTCCAATTAAGTTTTTCATATGGTAACATTCAGAATTTTGGTGGGAGATGAGGCTACTTTTGTCTAAGAGAGAACATACTTTCACTGCTGCACTCGGCCCAGAAATGAGTTCTCTGCTATTAAAATGTAATTTAATTTATCTCCATGGATCCATGTATTTTGTGATGACTAGGATTTGTTCTAAGGAGACCTTTCAAGGAGAACTTTTGCATTATTAAATGTATGTGCTAGGAAGTTGAGTTTTGGCATCCTCTGATAACCAAATTTCTTTTCTATCCTCCACTATATCCATCATGATAAAAGTCCTGGCCAAAGCCCTAACTCAAGCCATGCTTCTGGCATATTGTGAAACGAATCAGGGGAAAAAAAAAAGCAAAAAAAAAAAAGCCCACAGGATACTCTAGTCCAGTATTTTTTTAATCAAAGTTTCAAGGATATTGATGGTTTACCTCATAAGGTAAACATTTGTAGCCCAGTTGCTTTCCCAGGGTTAAACCAGAAACAAGTGGCTAGCTGAAACTGTAACTAATTTACTCTGACAGACTCCAGTCAGCTTCAAAATGAGTTTTCCTAAAAATCGCAGGTCCTTTCCCTGTGGTGCAGTGGCACTGGCATCTCCCCACAGGGGGCTACAGAATGGTCCTGTTTACCAGCCAGCACCTGTCTACCTGCCAGCTCCTGGCCCCAGAGAAATCTCAGCACCTTGGAGATTGAAGTGCTCCCTGTTCTCCCAAACCCCCCTCAAGTGAGGCAGCATGTGTCTCCACATTCCTAGTGGTTTACCCAGTGCTTGTCTGGCCTGGCCATGGAGCCTGCTGCCCAACAAGTCAGCACGTGGGGCTCAACAGAGGACACAGCACAAGTGATCTTTAACTTGGTTCAAGACTCACAGTGCCCCCGTGATTCTGTGATTAAAGGTATGTGGAGTGCACAAAGTTTCCTGCATACTTCTTTTTAGTCTCTATTGTTATTGCTTCCCCGATGCATTAGTCTGTGGACCAAAGCCACAGCAAACCGTGCTGTGGAAAGAGCTCCCTTCCCTAAGAGTGTCTCCAGGGCATAACAACAGCTCTGAAGCCTGGAGAGAGCCAAGATGATTTCACCACCAGGGCTGGCATTGCCCCCAGGAGCCACTGTGGCACACAGCACCTTGCTGGCACAGCTGGCCTGCCCACCCAGCAGGTCACCGTGCAGGCACAGAAGGACGTGCCTGTGCAGTCCTGGCTGCTGACTGTGGGAAGCTGCTGCTCTGCTTTGCATATAAGTCAAAACCTGTAAGCTACTGGTTACAGAGAAACTCTCTGTTTTAGCAGGCTGAAGTGGGAGAAGGGAGAGAGCTGCCAGATCCCAGCTGGTCTCTGCTCCAGGAGCTGATGGAGGATTAGCCCTGCAGTGTGTCTTTACAAATTGTCGGCTCCAAGAGTACACAAAACAAAGCTGTAAGGACTGAGTGTCTCAGCACAGAGGCAAAGGCAAATACTTTGGGAAACTGACAGTACTTTCCACCCAGACACAGGCATGGGGACTCTGGCATCCTGTCCCTGCAGAGTGCTGCCTGTCCCACAGCAGCTCAGTTGCTGTGACCACAGCACTGAGGCCACTGGCTGGGAGCAGATCCCTCCTGCCTGCAGCCCCACAGCTGTTGGCAGAGCCTCCTCCTCCCTGAGCTGGTGCCCCACAAACCAGACAGAGTTTGGAAAGTGACCACAGGTCCTTCCTAGCACAAGAATCCATCTGCCCTGGAGCATGGGGAGGCTTCTGGAGTTGCCTTGCTGCTCCACACAACTTCAACCTTCTCTGCAACGCATTTGCTCCAGGGGCTTGGGGTGGACAGACACCCCTGCAGACAGGCCCAGAACTGCACCCACCAAGAACGGTGCCAGGGGAACCTGCCATGACCCAGCTTCTCCAGCCCTCCCAGCCCAGCATCATGCCGTGCCCCAGATGGGAGATGCAGGGCTGTGCCTGCTGCATGGGCTTGTGGCAGAGCTGCCTGTCCCCATTGCCCTCAGTTGACACTGTGGCATGTCCTGCTCCCTGTCTCAGCTCCCTGCCTGAGTGATGCTGGAGGGCTGTGGCATGTGCCGGCTCCAAGCCAGCACTGTCCCTGTGCCTGCAGCAGCCCACAGGCACAGGGAGGTGCCAGGCCATCTCCCTGTGCCCTTCCTTCAGCCATTCCTCCTGTTAAACCCTCGCCCTAAATGCACAACTGCAGTCGTGGTGCTGGAAAGCAAATGCATGCCAGGCTGTGGCAGGTGTGGGGAGAGGCACGACTGCCTGCTTCCCATTCCCTGCTTCCCATTCCCTGCTTCCCATTCCCTGCTGCCCCTTCCCTGCTGCCCCTTCCCTGGTGGGGCCTGGCCCTCCCTGCCAGCTGCCCTCCTGCCCTGCTGCCCGCGGCAGCGGAGCTGGGACCTCTCGCTACTTGTTCCGCGGGAACTTCCGACATTTCAAAAATTGTTTTCATTTTGGCTTGGAATAAAGACAAATATTTCAGAAATTTCCTGGATAATATAAAGTTTAAAACACCCTCCAAACCAAAATAGAAGCAGTAGGCTATCTCAGCTCTTGCATTATGTCATATCATGACAGCTCATGGTGCAGTGCAGAATTACAGATGAATTGTCATGAGGAGATGTGAACAAAAATACAAATAATGTCAACAAGAGCGGAGAAGTGAAATGCTGAGATGAGATATTCTCTAAAATGATTTTTTTTCCCCTTGTGCAAAATAATTCTCCATGGGAAATTGCTTGGATTTTATAAAAGAGCATGGGCTGTCCAAGCAGCTCTTCTGTGCTCTGGGGAGGCAGGAACACCCCGCTGGCACTGCCCCGCCGCCCCCGGCCAGCCGCGCTGCCGCGCCGGGCTGGGTGCGGGATGTGCCCCCTGCCCGCGCACAGCCCCTTATCTTGCTTCTCGCAAGCCCAGGGCAGGCGGGCTCCGTGGGCAGCCCGGCACAGCCCGGGCCCCGCCGGCTGCGGGCAGAGATAACGCGGGATGGATCAAGGGGCGCTGGGCGAGCGGCGCCGCGTCTCCTCGGCAGCGGGGGGGTCGCGTGGTCCCGCTCTGCCCGGCGAGAGGGGCCTGGGCTGGGGCCGCTCTTACCTTGGCTCAGCTCTGCCCGGCCGGGGCTGGCTCCTGCCCTGGCTCCTGCCCTGGCTCTTTTTTTAGCGGGCGGACCTCGGGGCGCCGGCTGGCACCCATCCCCCGGCCTGCCCCGTGCCTCTCCAGAAAGGCACTGCTGGGAAGGAGCGCCGAGGCTCATGTCTCCGGCGCTGTATCCACCCCTTCCCACCCTCTTGGGGTTCGGTCCTGCCAGTTCCACTTGTGGGCTGTCCTCACCACTTTGGGCCTTTCTACCGCTCCCCTTCTTGTGGCTCTGGATGTCACCACAGACACGCTTTTATGAGAGTGGGCTTGTGCAAGGCTTGTATAAAGTGTTCTCAGAAATATGAGGTCCTGTCACTTGTAAAAGTAATAAAAATGTCCAATAATTTTTACAAGGGAAAAATGAGTCATTGGATGGCACATTTCTCATTACTGGCATTTTACAATTAAAATGAGCATCTATTGAATCAATCCAAAGCTCTTATTGTTAGCAGACACTAATAACTTCCTGAGCTATTGAAGATACTTTTTTTTTTCAGAAGAAACATGACCCCTGACCACGGCATTTCTCGTCGAGAGCGGTATCCAGCTGGGACCAGCTCTGCTCAGCTCCTGCTGGAGAGGTTTCAAACACATCCTGATGAGACTGGTGGCTATAACTGGGTGGGAAATTGTTTTTAAGCCCTCAAAAATGTTCAAGATTTCAAAATTTTTCCCGCTCCACATGGGGATGAATCCAGAATTGTTCAACATTTTTACCAAAAAAAAAGAAAAAAAGTCCTCATGGAAACCAGCTCCGGAACAGGCAGTGGCCACAGGTCACGCTGGGCCGGGGGGACTCCCGCCCGCCCCAGCCTGCCGGCGGCTCGGACCGCCGTGCTGGTGGCTGCCCTGGCATGAGCCAACTTCTCCTCCCAGCATGGGACACCCATCCTGGACCTCATGACCTTCTCTGGTGAAAAATGAGTCCTGTGAAACTTTCCCGGTTTCACTGCGGTTGCGCGTGCATGGCTGAGTGCTCTGCCCAGGGCAGGATGCAGCCCAGCAAAGCAGGGTCATCACCATCTCCTGCCTTCAGAAGATGGAGATTTTTGCAGCCGCTTGTTTTCAAAACACACTAGAAAATTTCAGGACAATATGGGAAGGGCCTAATTTTTCAACAGGCCTCAAGGCCTTCTGGCGCTATCTCCTTAAAATCAGCCTTCCTCCAGATATCTCGGGATGGATCCTGGCAACCAGAGCAACCACCTGCTTTTAAAAACGGACACCCTGATAGAAAAGGAGGAGCCAAATTCTCCCCACATGCTCAGAGAAGACAGTGAGTTTCTGGGTGAGAATGGACATGCTTCCTCCAAAACCCCAAAGGACCCTGGGCAGCCAGGCTGCTGTCACTGGTGGGGAGGTTCAGTCCCTATTTGTATGATCAAACATGTGCAAAGCTGATGAAAAACTACCATGAAATCCCACTGCACAGCAGTAACAATGAGCAAGTGCTGGCTTCCAAACACTGAGTGCCCTGCCAAAGAACTGGCAAGTTCAGATTCTGCTGGGCTGCAGGGGTCCAGACATGGCTTTTGCCACTGCAGATCCTCTTCATGCAAGTCTGCAGGAGACAAGCCCCAGCCCAGCTGCTTCTCCAAGACGCCCTTCAAGTCCTTTGCCAGAATTGAATGCACAAAAATCTAACACCCATCCATGATGGAGTCTCCACTCTACCCTTCCTAGAAGAGTCCTTATGTGCCCTGAGCAGAGGACTGGAGCAGGCACTTGATGTCTGCTAGTTGAGCAGTCCTAGCTGCTTCAGGAGGATGCTGGGCTCTGCTCCCTATGCACCACACCTTCTCTAGACTCTCCTCTCTCTCCATCCTCTCCATTTCTCTCTGGAGGGGATGGTTCTTGCTGTTGGGAAAGCTCCATGGAAGTGGGGATGCCTATGCAGGGCCCAGATGTTGGGGATGAGCAGATGAGGTTGTTTTCCATTCTCTAGTATTGTGCAATGGCTCCAGAGATAGAGACACTTCCCACTTCTTTTCCTTTGCTACTGGACACGGGGGTTGGGACAACAATATGTATTGTCATTTATAAGCACTGTAAGACCCTCCTGGGACCTGCATGCATAAATCTTGTGTTTGCTGTAGCGTTCTTTTTCTCCCTTGCATCCTTGCAACACAGCTTCTGCCTGTGCCGTACGTCTGCAAGACCAAGCTCTGCACAAGCTGAAGTCCTGCTCCCGAGAGCATCAGCCTGTCTTGCTGCCACTCTCCTCTCCTGCTCAGAGGGGAGGGCCGTGGGAATGAGCTGCTAATCCAGCCCGTCCTGGCCAGGGTCCCGCTGCAGCTGCCAGGTGCCTGAGCACAGCGTGTGCAGCAGGCACAGCCGACAGCCGGCAAGAAATGCCAAGAGCTTCCCTTTATGGCTCTGTATTTCCTGTTAAATTTTTATGGGATTTCCTCAGCATTCAGATTTAGGAACACGCTTGCCCAGCTGAGGAGGCCCCGGAGCCCAGTGCGGGCAGCAGCCAGAGGCTGGCAGAGCTGAACAGGGAGACTCGCTGCCAGGAGGGCCCGGGGCCTGCCTGGCTCCCCGGTGCCAGGAGGGCAGCCCAGCGGCAGGTGCCACGGGCCCGGCTGCCTGCGCGCCGCGGGAAGGCTCCCAAGTGCCACGGCTGGCGTGGGGCCCCTGGCTGCTGCCGCGCTCCTGCTGCCTGGCCCGGCAGGGAATTTGGCAGCCCCGCCGCAGGGACTTATCGGCTGATGTCGCAGGATTTCCTCACCCTGCCGGGAGCGCACAATGGCGAGGACAGGCTGCTCCGCAGACACCCTAATCCCTTGGCAATTGTGCTGCGTTTCGGGGGGTGACAATAGTTCAATGAAGGTTTGCAAGGTTAGCAGGAACGTTAATCCTTACAGAAGAAAAATGTGACAATTATTTAATGCCGCGGCTGGGAGCTTTTGTGTTGCCCTTAGTTTGATGTGTTTGTACTGGGCAATGTCTCATCTAAAGTACAAGAGGACAAGAGCTGCAGAGGTTACCTGGGCACTGGCTGCTCCCGCCCTGGCCCTGCTGGCATTAGCCAGTTGCAGGAGGTGGAGGAACAGGACACCCTCAGCACTGCCAGCTGGCTGGGGTGCAGGGAGGTGTGACAGGTTTATCTGGCTGCAGGGGCTGAGGAAAGGGAAGGAAGGGATAAAGCTCGGAGATCACAGGTGGGATCCCTGCTCGCCCGGCGGCAGGTTCAGCACCACGGCCCTTCCCTCCAACCTGCTCCCAGCAGTGTGGGTGTCAGTGCCAACATGCTGTCCCTGCCTGACCCTGCACATGTCCCTGCACCCACCAGTAGCCAAAGGCAGCAGGAACAGCCAGGTCTGGTGGCACTGTGCCAGCCCAGGCATGGCTGGCAGGGCAGGGGGACTCGGAAGTGGTGCCTGATCGGAGGCAAAAACCTCAGATGTCCCACCGTGTGCCACCACCCTGGCTCTCTTTGGCTGCCTGCGTGGCTGAGGCATCAAACCAACCTCTCCAGAGAGAGAGGAGCTGCCAGAAGCAGCTGTGAAGCACCCGGCAGGCTCCCGAGAGGCTTAGGGCAGCCTCCCCTCACCTGCCCCTTCCCTCCCTGCAGCTCCTGACCGTAGCCAGAGCAAGAGACCTCCAAGCACGGGGCAGCAGGGAGGGGCTGTCACAGGGGGCTGGTGGGGGGCCCTGCTTGGTGGGCACGCAGGTGCCCCCCGTTCACACGGCGTGTGCATGTGTGTGCTGGGGGGTGCGTGTCTGAGCCACGGCGGGCCCAGGCACTGCAGACAGAAAGTACAAATCTGCCTCTCATTAAAACAGCCCTTTGTAATATAACCTATATGAGCCTGCACTTAACACCCATCATCCTGAGGAAAGCCCAGGCTCTCTTCCAGCCAGCTGGACTCTGTGCCTCCGGGGCAGATCTCCCAGGGACATGAGACTGCCGGGGCAGGAACTTGGATGCATTTCTGTGCGGATTCTTCCCCCTTCTAGAGAGGCACAATGGGGCTTTGCATGAGTGATACAAACATGCCAGTTGTACTTAAGGTTGACAAATAATGTAAACCACACAATCTGGTTTGAGGGAAACGACTTCACCACAATTTATTTTAGTGCTTTAAACATCATGCCAAACTCTGTAGTGAATTGCTAAATTAATGCCGGGCTGCCATCTAAATAGACATCTTCAGATCACAAGCATGTTATAGGGGGAATGGTTTCCTTTGAAATGGTTCCCACAGCTTAGAGGCTGCGCAGAGAAAAAATGTGCCCAGGATTCAATTGCTGCCAACATGTGGTGGCCACATTTCTCTGCTGCTATTGGCCAAGATGCACAGTAAGGATGAGGAAGCATCATTTGAGGTGGACAGATCAACCGGTGATTGCAGAGAGACAAGGAATGTCAAAGCAGCTCACTCTGAGGAAAGGCGTAAAGCAAAACAGCCTCAGTTCCAAGCTGTTAGCCTGGAAAAATGTGCCCATCACACACTGTCTCAGCTGCTTGCGATGCAGCAGAGAAGTCCAGTGAAAGCACAGTGGACATTTCTTCCACTCTTGGTTTTCCATCGGTGTCTTGGCTGATGTAATCAGCCCTGCTGCACTCCTCTGCTCCCAGGGGCAATTCCCACCCACTCTCCACGGTGTCCCAGCTCTCTTGAGAGAAAAGCCCATCAGATGCACTTGGCAGGGGAGGCCAGGCTGCTGGGGACAGAGCTCACTAGGAGGCTGTGCAGGAGAATTGCAGCCAACAAGACACTGGTTTAGCACCTTCCGCACCCACAGGTGTACTCTGGTGCAGCTGGGAGAGCTGCAAGGTGTGTCTGAGCAGAGGCTGCAGAGGCTGCCCTGCAGCAGGGGGTGGGAAGAAATAAGAGGTGACTCTGTCCCTCTCAGGGCAGCTCATGGGACCAAACCCTCACCCCAAAGCACTGCCTGGCACTGCCCATGCTGTCTGCTGCTGGCAGGGGGACAGAGAGCCATGGCAGTTGCTCCCTCCTGCCAAGGGAGCCAGGGAGGTTTGTGGTGGGCACTCATGCTACATGTGCACTTCACATATGCACTTCAAACGCTGGAGATACCCTGGCATCCAGTGGCCAGGCTCTAGCAAGCACCCTGTAGACAAAAGACAAGAAAACAAAGGAGAGGGAAGGGAGCTGTCACTTGCTCAGTGTTCCCACCCAGGCAAGTTGGGTTTTGTTTCCCCATCACCAGCCTGAAATCCATCTTCCATGCTTTCGTGGCTCAGTTGCTCCTTCCCCTTATGGTTTCCTTCAGCTGAGCTGGAGGAAGAATAAAGAAATGTCTCTCTGGGCCCCAGCCTCTTACAAGGCTCATAAATATGTCTCTGCTTAAAAATGCAAGGATTAATTAACTCATGAGTATCTCCTAACCAAAATTCTGGGAAAGAGCACCCTCCTGTGCGGGAGGCAGTGTGTCTTCAGGGGGTTTCCCTGGGGCCTCTCGCCTGCCCACAGATGCCTGCCCAGGATGGACCCGAGGCTGGGCAGTGCCCAGGGGATGGGACCCCAGCCCCACACCAGCTGTGCCGCGCTCGGGCTGCGGTTCCACGGGGCACCCGGGTGGCCATCAGCATCGGGCTCCAGGGCCATGGTGCCATGTTGCCTTGACAGTGTTTTCAATTAGGCACTTGACAATGACCAGGCTCGGTGGTCTGCTGTAAATTTTGAGGACTGATGCTGCCACAGGAAAGTTTGGGCCAAGGGGGC